AATTTCGAATGTCATAGAGGGAGTACGACACACGACTTTTAAAGTTACCTAGCATTTCATATTTATATATGCTACTAATACTATTTGCTGTTAGTATATTTTGATTTTTATATGTATCATTATTAACAGTGTTAATGCCCATGTTAATGTCTATTGAGTATACTGTTCTGCATCAAACTAGCTTCACCCGTTATAAAGACTGATGCCAGAGACTCGATACGAGATATTCGTTTTGTCGTACAATAAAAAGAGGCCACGTTAAGACCTTTATTTTATTATTATGACGCTTTCTTCTTACAAATTTACGTGTTTCCTGTTTGTTACAAGTTTTATGTTCTTAACCTTTCACTCTGCCTGTATAAAGATAGTTTATAATAACCTTCTTACTATTCTAAATAGATAGTCTATTTTTTTTTCATTTGTAAATACTGGTTTTGTAGAATAAAATTACAGTAATTTTTTATTAAGGTGTTCAAAAAATGAAGGAATTTCTCAATTCGCCTTTGTTTTTTCTTTGGCGTACCAGCGCCATAACCTCGGCAATTGTAATTAGATTTTAATAATTGTTATTTGTAGAGCAGTCTCATAAGAATAAAAAACGGTCAAGTGCATGTCGAGCCACAGAGTAGGGTTCTGTAGTTTACCACTACTATTATTAATATTTTATGAACTTGGTGTATTTTATAAATTCGGCGACTTATCTATACTAATATTATAAAGCTGAAGAGTTTGTTTGTTTGTTTGTTTGTTTGAACGCGCTAATCTCAGGAACTACTGGTCCGATTTGAAAAATTCTTTCAGTGTTAGATAGCCCATTTATCGAGGAAGGCTATAGGCTATATATCATCACGCTAAGACCAATAGGAGCGGAGCACCAATGAAGAATGTTTCAAAAACGGAGAAAATTTATTACTATTGAGAGACGCAGACGAAGTTGCGCGGGTCAGCTAGTTACTTATAAATTAACAGAACGTATATAACCGTGCTGGACATAAGCCTCTCCTGAGAAAGGAGAGGCTTATGTCCAGCAGTGGACTATTAAAGGCTGTTGATGATGATAATGATATAACCGTGATGTTTTTCTATCTAAACCTGTTATATATCATACCATCATAATAATATACTTGAGTTTTGGAGGTTACAGTTTGCCTAGTATGTATATTGGCATTTAACTGTAACATAAATTAGCACTTTAAAGTTTAACATTTCGCAAACGGATCGACGAATCGATAAATAGTCTTCAAAATCTGAGCAAAATACGAGCAGTCGGGTCACCTGGTGAGAAGTGACTACCCCTGCCCATGAACGCCTGCAACTCAGGAGCCACAAGCGCATTACCGGCCTTGAAAGACCTTTCTCACAAAAACGTTATGGGACAGCTAGCGGTCAAAGTGGGAGAGCCATACGTGGACACAAATGGGCCGGCTCGACGAAAGCGAGACTACGACGTCACTGAAAACCCTAGGAATTACACACAGCTACACTAAGAATAAATCCTGTGTCGCGGGTGACTTTACATACATACATGAACCGGACACAAAGAACATCCAGACTCAGAACGACAGTTTATAGATCACACAAAGTGTCGTCCCATGTGGGGATCGAACCTTAAACATTCAGCGTAGTAGGAAACGGCGTGGCGACCACTACGCTACCCGTGCAGTCAAAAATTAGTTTTTCACAGAGAGAGGTTACCGTAGCCCAAAGGGTGGGCTACGGTAACCTCTCTCTAACCTCGTAATTCTGGAGGATGGGCTCTAAAAGGAGGCAACGCACCTGTCCCTCTTGACCAGGTGTTCATGGGCGACGGTAGGCACTCACCATCTGGGGTCCAAGTGCGAATTTATTTCACTTCACACGATCTTCTCGGTGACAGCTTTCGTCGCTGTGATTAGTGAAGGGTTCAACGCGGGCCAATCACAACGACGAATGCCGTCACCGTGACGATCGAGTTGAGGCGAAATAAACTCGCACTTGGGCCTCAGATGACCCGCCAGCTTCGGGCCGTTGGCCTCCTATTATTTAAAAAAAAAACAATCAAGAGAGCGAAACATCTGATGTCGTGAGTAGCGAGCAGTTCTCCCGGAATAATTACAAAATATTTTTTTCTCAAGTTATTTTTACAAAACATGCAAAATTAAGGATTTCTAGTATTAACATTTTTACCCATAAGGTGCAGACAGTTGGAGGTACAGACAGACAGATATGGCGAAACTATGCAACCTAAAAATCTAGCCCTAAGTGTGGCAAAATAGCAGATTGATATGCACAATCTAAATACATTTTAGGTAAGTTCAATAAGGATATGCCGTCATATTTATATCTGTTGATGATTTTTACTTCACAGGGAATTAATTAAACATTATAGCTTAATATAATGCTTATTATATTGAGACAATAAATGTAGAAAGTAACATTTTACATATGTGTGTTAAATGAAAGGGAATTTATTAAATAAATTCATTATACCTTATTAATCTTGTAAATGATTGTACCTACTACACTCACAATGACTACTACATATAGTAGGCATTGATGCACACATGATAAGTGCATTCTGAATTGTTTGAGAGACACAGAGAGAGAGAGAGAGAGAGAGACCACTGAAGCAATGTTTCAGATACATTTAAGAATAATACAAGTCATAGTCGTAGTAGAAAGATTAAAGCAAAGTTGAGGGTTAAAAGACCTAAGCAATAGTGATGTTTAAATGATATTTCCATTAAAATTCTACTCATTGAGGTCATTATGAGGTTATAAGATTATGCATCATAAAGAATTTAATAAATGATTTTTACCACCGAGAACACCCCAATTCCAATTAGTTGACTCAAATTATAATTAATTGTAGGTCATCAAGAAACCAATTGACATAAAAATACAAATTTTAATTACTTCACATAAAAAATAATAATAATAATAATACTGGCCACTTGTTTTTTTTCACTGTTCATAAGCATAAAAATTTGCAATATTAAATTAACTGATACTCAAATTAGGTAATGTTTGGTTTTATTAAAAATAAAATTTAAAAAAATGTACACAGTACAAAGTGTGAATTGAGATGTAGCATTTCTTATTGAAGGTTTTTACGCCAAACATTTTTCAAAAGTATTATGTTATAAACTCATGTAGCCACGAATTCTAATCTGAAATATTTAGCTTCGTACTTATATTATTAGTTTTGCGGACCCCATCGATTTAACGCGGTTGAATGTGAGGGTGGGCTGAATGATATATGCCCGCATCGTAAAATATATTTGATAAACCATACCACATACAAACCTCGTTTTTTAAATGTTTCTGACAAAAAACGCAAACAACTGAAAGAAATCGTCATTCTAAATGATTAAAGTAATTTATAAATACCTCATAAATGCCAGAGAATGCAGATCAAGGCAGTAAATCAAGTGTCGATGGGACAAATCCTTGCACAACCACTAAACCAAAATTATACGAAAATAAAACACACTAACACAAAGTGTTCACTAATTGTGTTAAAGCAAATCAACACAATGAACCATATCACAAACTAATTATGTCATAAAACATCCAATAGACGTATATAAAATGTGAAAATTGTAGCATTTCCTATTTTACGTATACCGGCAATTGCTTGACACAACCACCTCTACAAAAATCTTTACAAAACTGACTAATTTCAACGATGGCGCTGCAATCGCCGATTAGCGCAAGCGCTGTCACAAATTTTAAAAGCATGGCCCAGTAGTGCCTCCATAGTAAAAAAAACAGATATTTTTTTTAAGATTGAACTGTTCAGAAATTTAGATAGTTAATAAATCTCCATAACAATTAAATATTTTATGTTTTATTCTTTGACAATTGATTTTAGAAAAGTGGATTTTACTAGATTACCCATATTTTCGAAATTACAACACTATTATCAAAAAGAAATTGTGATTTTCATACGGTAATTTATTAAAATCAATTTAGACTTTACATTTCAAGTAAGGAAAGGAGAGGAGATTTTGAACCAAATAATTAGTAGTTCGATCCGATTGTTTTAAAAAAATATAAAACTGACATATTGAGCGTTGTAGGAAAATAATATATTTATAAACCACAATTTAAAACAATATTCAGAATGTTTAAGAAAAGGATGATTGTTTATTCAATAATTGTTTAATTGATTTAATACAACAATAAAAGGTAATGTACATCATATAGCGTGGTATTGCATGCCATGGCGACGTGTCGCGAGGGTCTGACCCTCTGCATTAGAAGTTTCCTATCAATTATTTGTGAAAAAAAATATGAAAAAAAATTGGTTGCCTGTAAAGTCGGTATACGGGCGAAAGTTTTACGTGACAACGACTATGTCTGTCTCTCTCGCTCTTAGGCGGGCTAACCATGCCCGATTGGAAGGGACGCGTGCCTCTCACTCGCTCTCATTGTGAGCGCATAACGTGAGCGGAGCGTAACGCAGTTTCTTGAAGTGTCACCCGGCAAACCAATTTATAAGACGTTGTCACGTCAAAATAACTTATTTAAAAAGTTATTGGATAGATATCTTTATTACAGTTTCGAACTATACAATCGATATTTACTGAATATTACTTATATTTTTTGGACAACATTTCGACAGTTCGACATTGTTATCTCTAGAATGATAATGAATTTCAACAAACAACTTTTGGTTAATGGCTTTGTGGTAGAGTGTAACCACAATTTCGCCAATGTCATGTATTTGAAAGACAAACTGTCAAAGGATTTTATGTAGAGCTGTGGTAGAGCCAAAAGAAATTTTGGGAATGAAAGAATAAGAATGAATAAATTGTTATCTTTTACAGGCATGATAAAACTTAAACTAGTAAAATATAATGAATTTCAATTTATCAATATTTATCAAAAGTCAGAAATCAGAATGTCACTGTCACGTTTACTGACGTTTACTGATAGTATTACTGTACTCTGTGGTTTACTGTTTACTTTTTATTTGATGAATAAAGTTATTTTTTAGCAGTAATATTCATATAACCATGTTAGACTACGTAAAGCAAGTAATACTAGTACTTTCTGGAAAAGGAGGTGTCGGAAAGTCTACAGTGAGCACACAGTTGGCATTAACATTAAAAGAAAGAGGTTATAAGGTATTTTTCTCTGATAAACTATCTACAATTTTGTAAAATTGTTCAAATATATTATTTTAAAACCAATCTTATAACTCCCAGGTTGGACTACTCGATATAGACTTGTGTGGACCTAGTGTACCATATATATTAAACTTGGAAAACCAAAATGTTCACCAAGGACCTGATGGATGGATTCCAGTATACTTGGACAAAGAACAGAGGCTTGGAGTTATGTCTATAGGATTCCTTTTGAATTCTAGAAATGATGCTGTAGTATGGCGCGGTCCAAAAAAGACCTCTATGATTAAACAATTTCTTGAAGATGTGTGTTGGCAAGAGCTTGATTTTCTTATAATCGACACACCTCCAGGTAAGCATAGATTAATACTAACTTTTTCCGATGGCTCTGCCCTCGTGTATGTTAGTTATCGCCGTAAAAAGTAGCCTATGTCCTTCCCCAAGAATCAAACTATCTCCATACGGATTTTTTCTAAATTGGTTCAGTGGTTTAAGCGTGAAGAAATAACAGACAGACGCAAATTCTCATTTATAATATTAGTATGGATTATTTAAATATCAATAGAATATATTCCTGTTAGTGTTTATTTATTGTCGAGACTTTTTAGCTTTTATTTGTTTTATTTGTCAGCATAATAAAAATGTACTTTAAGGTTAAATATTTAGCGGTAGAGTGAGCAAGTTACTAACTAGTGAAGTAATTTTGTTGTAAAAGAATGTAGACGCCCACTTCATCCTGATTTTTGTGGTGTTGATAAGCTTTGGAAAGTAAACACCATCCAGATACAGGTTGGCAAAAACTAGACATTATAATTAAAAATAGATGATAGTGTTTTAGATTTCGCATTAAGGCTAGATATAGATACTTCGAATAACAGAAATAAAAAAGTTTGAAAAAATAAGTACTTTCACTTATTGCATACAAAACGGCAATTTCATAGGTAAAGACCTAATATTAGTGAATCTGACTGCACGGATGCTGAGTGCTGTGGGTCCGATCCCCACATGGGAGTTGTCTGTGTGATTCACAAATTATTGTCTTGAGTCTGGGTGTTCTTTGTGTCCGTTTAATGTATGTTTGTAAAGTCCTCCGCGACACAGGATTTATTCCTAGTGCGGGAGTTCTAGAAAGAAATCTAGACATCACACGTTTATTTCAGTATGACTCTCAACAAACCAAGTAAGTCAAAATCACCCACCAACAATCTCCAAATAGTACTTTTGGCCCAACTGTTAAAAAAATTGAGCAGCCTTGCACTGGACTAACAGGCCAAATCTATACAAATAAATAAAATTGGAGTGTCTGTTTGTAATATTAAAATATATATATTTTTTTATTTCTATGTAGAAGTTTTCCCTGAGATTTTGAAAAAAAAAGTGTTTGTTCCCTTGTACCAGCAATAATAAACAATTTAATAAATAATTAAAATATTTACAGGAACATCTGATGAACATATAACAGTAATGGAGAACTTGCGACAAGTTCCACACTGTGGTGCTATTCTTGTGACCACTCCACAAGAAGTAGCTATAGAGGATGTACGGAAGGAGGTTACATTCTGCAGAAAAACTGGTATACGTATTATAGGCATTATTGAAAATATGAGTGGGTGAGTATTCAGAAGACGTGGCAATTATTGCTACTTTTGAAATTATTACATTTGATGAAATGATTGGTTTTAGTCACAGCAATTTCACATGTGATTGTGATTTCATCATAGACAAATAAATGTCATTAAAATTCTTTTTATCAACAATTACCCTATTTTTTTTTATGTAGACCTTTTGCGAGGCCCTAGCTCAGGGTAATAATAATTCTCAGTGGTTTTGTAAATCAGACACTATGTGGATATAAATCATATGATTTATCACATGTGATTGTGATTTTATGTCATACCTCGTGTTCAGACTTAATATTGAGATCTTATAATGAGTATTAAAAAATAAAATCACCCAACTGTGTCATCACATTGCTACATATTATTGTACCTTTCAGTTTAAAAAATATTATTATTTATTGCATATTTGATGACTTAGTTCACATGTAATTATAACTAATAGATTTTAGTAATTTAACATAAATGTAGGTGAAATATATTAAAATATGCAGACAGAATAAACAACAGATTTTATTGGAAAGCAATTTTTGAAAAACAAAACATTTTTATTCTACCTACTTATTGGGTATATTAGGGTAGTATTGCAAGTAATAACTTTTAGAGATAATCATATCAAAGTAAATACAGGAGATTTAAATACATAGAAGCTTAAAAATAGATGTTAAATTTTGTTCCTAATATTTTGCCACATATATTTCTGAGCTTCAAAAAGCTATATAAAAATTTACAATGAATAGTTGTTTTATGACCGTTTTTATTATTTTCTCCACAGATATGAATGCCCAAACTGCAGTGAATGCACAAATATTTTCTCCAGTGGTGGTGGGAAGTCGCTGGCAGATATATCCAAAATACCTTTTATGGGGAGTGTGCCAATTGACCCTAGAGTGGGAAAACTGGCAGGTCAGGGTTTAGCTGCAGTAAAAGAATTACCAGATTCAACAACTAGCAGAATATTCACAGAAATTGTTAATCAGTTGACTGACCCCACTACTAGTGATTAAGACATTAAATTAACCATTACATTTTATTACTTTAAGAAGTTACATGGTAATTTTGTTTGTATGACGAGGACTAAAATTAAAAAAAACACAACCAAGGCTACTAAATAACCACTACTAAATAATTAATGGGTAATAGAACATACAGTTTAGTAATGATCCACTATTCCATTTAATGAACGCACAACATGAAGTATGTGTGTCAATGCCACTCAAACTAGTATCTTATTTGTAATGACTGACTGCAACAGATGGCGTAGTGGTTTAAGCGGTCACCTCGCCGCTTCCGACTGCACTGAGTGTTGTGGGTTTGATCACCACATGGGACTACACTTTGTGTGATCCACAAATTGTTTTTCTGAGTCTAGCCATTCTTTGTGTCCGTTTCATGTATGTTTGTAAAAAAAAATGCAGCATTGCATTGCAAATAAGGTATTAGTTTGAGTTAATTATATTCTATAGCTATAATAATTTTATTTCATTACAAGTAATGGCAATTCAGATCGCGGCTCGCGTGATGGTAACTGATCACTGATGAACATTCCCTGCTAGCGTTACAAGTGCATTATTCTCTTTCCCACAAGACAAAAAGTATAAAATAAAAATTTCAAATACTCTTTCGAAAATGTTTTAACCAATTAGAAAAGAAAGGATTATTTCGAAACAGTTGAATAATTTTTCTTGAAAAGAAAATAACTCAAAAACAGACAATCAGTTAAGGAGATATGATGCCACACATGTTACACTTATAACAACTCTCCTTTTTTGATAGAAGTGAAAATAACTACAAATGGTAGCAATCTTTTGACGTGACAACGTTTTATAATTCGATGGAGCCGGCTGCACGCACGAAAAAACATGACTCATGCGGCGTTACCTCGCTCTGAGGCGTTCCATTTAAGGCTTGAAGTGCAAGCGAGAGCGCGGAACGAGCGACAAAGAGGCACAATCGGCCTCCGCGTTCGGCAGCGTTCGACATCTGTCTAACAAATAAAATTAAAATTTTCTTTTGAAAAATGCAACCATTTAATTAGTATTTTCTTATGACGTTGTCACGTTCAACTATCGTCAGTAAAGCGACTTTACAGGCAACCGTTTTTTTCCTCTGCTTGTAATATCTTCTGTTCAGACTGGTCCATACTCGTAACCTGCTTCTGTATACAAGTTTCGGGTAACTTCCTAAGGAAATCGAATAGTGATGTCATTGAACTGGCTAACTTGCTCATTTTCGTAATATAGGTATATATTATTATTTTTCTCAAATGGGAAAGTATTTAGTAAACAATGTGTACTGTCTATCGAAGATTCGCGTGACTGGATGTAAGTAGGTCAAAAAAAAAACGTGCAGTAAACAATACATAGATGTGATTGTTATATAATGAAATTATTGTTGTTATAATAAATATGTTGTTACGGTTGTAAGCAATACTGAAAAATATGTTCTAAGTAAAGGCAATTTATTTTTAAGTGTACATGTTTATAACTAAGGGGATTCAATGTATATCAATAAAATATGTTTTCAATCAATATCTATTTATTTTATATTTCCATCAAAGACATACAAACACTTACTATAAAACACATTTAGGTACTTTTTATAAATGCATAAAATTCTTTCTAAACACAATCATTTTTGGTTCATGTTATGTAAACACTACTTACTATGTAGGTATGTAAATAATAATTTCTTTAAAAAATAACAGTAAATACGTCAAAATTGCATTGTAGTCAATAAATATTCTTTAAAAAAATAATTGGGCATTATTAAATAACAACATTTAAATTTTCTTTTTTTTATCATTTAAACACGAAGATTTTAGTGGCAATGATTTTGTACTTCTAGTTCTAAACGTAGATAATAACTCACGACTACAGCACACGGCACGATAAGAAGAGGACATAAAATTAATATATATATTTTTTAAGAAACCGTGAAGTCAACTATTGTACCTTGGCAAACGAGCGTTGCTTGTGTTTTTTTTTTTTTGATAGAGGGGCAAACGAGCACACGAGTCACCTGATGGATGATTATTTATAATCACCCATCAGGTGATCATTGATTACTTTCAACCCTATCTAAATAAATAAATTTATCCAAATTTTCAGAGCTGTTTCAGAGGTACAAGAAATATACAAGGTCTGATGTATAAACTTCAAAATGTTGACAACAACTTGTAAATAAATTCGCTATTTAGTAGTTTAGCCTTATAGTTATTAATATAAATTCGTAAAAACTTAATAAAACCAACCTAATGTCCAACACATCTTATATATGAATACCTACAGAAGATCTGTAAATCTTGTTTTACAGATTTTATATATATTGGCATATTAGTTAAATAATCACAAAAGAGAGATTAGACCACCCTATTTATATATTAAAGTGAAAAGCATGCTTTATCGATTACTGAACTTTTTTAATAGTCTTATATTAAATATTTTTATGGAATTCTTGAACAAGTCAGCGAACATGTTGGGTACCGACCGCAAGTAGCCCACATATATGCAAGTTACATACAAAAATATTTGACATCATTATGTTATAAAGGTATATCATCATAATATCATTCATTTTTCATTAAATAACTTTTGGCGGACATTTCGGCGTATTAATTAGTTTACATGTATACATTATCTAAGTATTTCTTAATATTTTAAAGTAAAATAAAATAAGTAATAAATTATTCTTTGTTACAAATATTATAAATCACTGTTAACGTATTTTGTCTTATAACTTTTGATTCGAGTACATTCACTATGAGTTTATTTTTTAAACTATATAACCCAATAATCATTTATTACTTTAGTCATATGTCCTAAAAAATATAATTTGACCACAGATATTCAATAAAATACAACATTTATCCTAATCGTATACTCATCAGACAGCAAAAACAAAAGCAGAGCGGAACTGTTAGAAGGAACGTAAAAAAAATAGTTTCTAAAAACTAAACTAGCTAAAAATAAAAACTGACAAGTTTTTATTTTTAGCTAGTACATAAATAACTAAAACGATCTGCTACTAAATAAATAACTAAAACGATCTGGATACAATCAAATATTTATCTCATAAATAAATAATGACTCGTCTCATTAAAAAAGAAAAAACAATTTTGGCCTTTCTATGCTGGCATGGTAATGTTTCAAGACTGCGAACCAAATACATAATCGTATACCATGAAAATACTATTTTTTTATATTATTTTCCATTACACAAAAAAAATTAGTAGGTATCGTATTCTGTAATAACCAATCAAAATATTAATGCGATCCTATTAAGCAGAAACGATTCAACCAACATTCTGAAAGTAACTCGACCTTGAATATTTCTACTAATATACTACCATAACTATCTCATAGTCAGATAGTTTACTTTAAAAAAACATTTTATGAATTTATTCATGAATTGTTGATCAAACTTTCAGAATCTCACCTAAATGATTTCCACAGAGAAAATTGAAAATCTTTTCTGCTTAAAAGGATCCAATATTCTTCAGTTTTATTAAACAATCATCTTATTCCATGGCAATGTACCACCTTCACTGCTGCATAGAATATATAAGGAATACCCTCAGACTGCTAACAAATGTACGTAGAGTGTGTTTTCAGCACTGAAGTATTGTGAATAATCGACAATGCGTATTAAACACAACTGTTGTGTTCCCTTACAGCAGTGCTAATAACACACACGTTGTGTTCCGTACGAGAGTGCTGAAAGTTTTGAAGCTATTGCATAGCTTCTATCGCGGGCCTTGAGCGTGGAGACCGAATCCAGAAATTCCGTAACGAAAATAACCTAACACCCGCCACTCCGACCGGCACAGCGGCGATACTTTTTAGTTCTGCTATCTATCGATAAATAGCAGAACTTTTAATGACTTTTTTGAAATATCACGCTTGTCTCTTTAGTTCAGCAACTCCCTCTAGGTGGCATTGGTTGTGATGCGGTATTCTCCAGATATTTAGAAGATAATATAAGTTTGAGACTTGATATTATCAAGTCTCAAACTTATGTTTCTTAGTTCAGTTACCATAAACCTTTACTTGCATAATGCATAAGTTGATAAAAAATGATATGCAATAGCTTTACCGCGATAGTCGCCGAGTGCCACACGTCTTTTTTGTTAAATGTAGACTTGCTTTCGAGGGTTTTTTTTTGTAATTAATATTATATTTGAAAGATAAATTAGTTTCATATTAATTTGTAGACCACATATTGAACAACAATTGTGTTTTGAGCACTCTCGTCTCTCGTACGGAACACAAGGGGGGTGGTTTACAACATGCTCGTCGGAAACAAAACGTGTGTTATTAGCACTGATGTACGGAACAAACAGTTGTGTGGCCATCACTTGTGGAAAGAAAAAGTGTCGGTGTGTTTTTTCAGCACTATAAACACAAGGTGTGTCTTATTCAGTAGTGAAGGTGTTGAGCTCCGTCTGAGAAGTACAAAATGGCTAAGCCTATTCGTTAAGCCACATGAACTGACGAATTTCCTCTTCAGAAGACGGGCAACAATGTGGCGGCGCCTTTTGCAGGATATGGCGTAATTCCTATGGAAAAAAAACAATACAACTGTTAGCCACTTACTATAAAATATAATCCTGGAACGGGTTGTATAAAATACGTATTTGTTTTACGTTCTTGGTTCAACGTTAAAAATTTACGGTGGAGTGAATTGATATAATTTCCGACTTCGTGAATTCTTCGTTCTCCGTTCAAGCAGTTCTACTCTGGAATGCACTCCCGCTTGAAGTCAGGGTGTCCACTAACCGTTCCGCATTTAAAGGTACACGACCTCGTTCTCAATGAGATGGCAGAATCTTCCAATCGATAGTACACCAACCAATTGACTTACATTCACAGTGTACGAATATAATGTAGATATGTACAGTGAAATTAGTCTCGATAAATTTTTGCATATGTAGTGGTGTGTATATTACTCAGATCTTAGAGCGCGTTTCCACTATATCGTTCTGGCCTATACAAAAATGTTTCGATATCCTAACATTACTATTTAATTTTATACTTATCCCTAGCAACACTCTGATTTTTGTTTTCAATAAAAACAAGTTTTTATTTTAAAGAAAAAGGTTTTGATTTTATAAAAAAAAAGGTGTGTGTGCGATTCACACACGATAGAAGTGAAACTTCAAAGAGGAGAGACCGATATTTAAAATTCTTTTTTTTTTTCTTTCATCTAGGTTTTTAAAACTCCGAGGGGTCTACGGGGGGGTCAAAATTTTTGTTATTTTTGGCCTAGGACGCACCGTTTCCGAGATATTTCAATCTAAAGCAAAAAATCGTCACTTGATAGTGGAAAGTGGAAACACGCACAAAACCAGAATAAACCAGTTTACGCTGTCCGCAGGTGCCACTACTACAAATGCAAAAATTACTCCAAGCTAATTTACCTGTATGTTTTTGTATTTGTAAATATATATAGGTGTATAATATGTATAGTATACAAGGTGTAAGAAAAATCGTACCGAATAATGACATAGTGTATTCAGACCATGATTCTGAGTCGAAATTATTCAATATTCGTTACGACGTTCCTTACACTGTGTCCATACATATATATATATATGTTGTGTATATATTTGTATATACATAGATCTAAGTATGTAGTTTTGTGTAATGTATATGCAGAGAATGCTCTGGGTATTAAGTCCGCCGTTGTACAAGAGGGCACTAAGTTGTGTAAATAAATAAATAAATAATACCAATGTTGTTGCATAGTTATAATATCCCTATCGATACTTTCGAACTATAATGTTATCGATAGTATTAAAAAGTATCGATGGTCAGTATCATTGGTATGACACAGATGCTATCAGATCAATTTTACCGATACTACCCAAAACCGATAACTTGAAATAATCTCTATAATGTTAATATTATCGATAGAATCGACCGCCAGCGATATTTTTTGAACTAAAACTTCTTTACGCACGCTTGACTTGGGGAGTAGGATAGTGAATGCGTTGACGAGAGCGTTACGAAAAGTGTGATCGGGCGAGGCGAACGGAAGTTGAGAGGGAGATATAAGTTAGTGAAGATAGAAAGAGAGAGAGAGAGTTACGTTTCGTATATTACTGTAGGGGCAAGAGAGAGAGGCACACTTTTCTTTTTCTCTTTCTCTCATAGCCAAGAAGTTTTACTTCAGTAGTGTGGTCTAAAGCACACTCGTTTTTTTTTAATGTGGTCTTTTTATACTATCGAGAGTAACTATCGCTAACTAGCAGGAATAACTCCTAAAGTCACGATAGTATCGATTAAAACACTATCGTAGAAACATTTAAGGAATAAGTATTTATAATAGAATAACCATATAGTTTTTTTATTGTTACTAAGTTCGTAATCTTTAGTTTCAAAAATTTTTGAAGACTTGAAATATTTTTAAGACGTATAATTTCTATTAAAATCAGTTTGGATAAGCGCAACCCCGATTGAGTTTAAAAAAAATATGTATGGCAGTCAATTTAATTGATTTTAAAATGGCGGTTTGATTTTGAATCACAAAGGTTACTGAATATTTTAGATGTGTAAATAAATATAAAACAGGGAATCTACAATTTGAACGGTTTTACGTGTATACTTTTTTAATCGTGATCATATTTATGGACAAAATATTATATTTAATACAATATTATAGATGTTTTTTAAATAAAATTCGGTTTTAATTTCTTTTTTAAAGATACTAAAAAAATTGGTCTTCTGTAAAGATGGAGTACACTGACTTAATACTAGTCAATTTTTTTATTTACTAAGTGGTTATTGCAATTGTTATTAATTGTGTTTATATTTCGGTGGAGACCCCAATAAATTATTAAATATTTTTTTTTTATATATGAATATTTTGTTCCGTTATAAAATTAATATAATTTAGGGATGATTCATCTTAGAACGTGCCGAGAATGAACCGAGTACGATCTCAATCGATTATGAGCCGTAGAGGCTTTTTCCAAAATGGCGACTAAGTCTTAATGCGCCCGATAATGTTATATATTCCATACTTAATATTCCTAAGCTTGGCGTCTGTGCCCCTGTGTGTCCCATTTAGGCCCCAGCTCAGCTTGGTCCCGGCTCGGGGTAGTATGACACATAAATCATCTCTTTATTTGTGAAAAACTGGAAGTAAATATCACACTAACATACATACACTTATGTTATTAGTTTAAAATATTCATGCCCGGGAGTTATTTTCCCCAAGACGCATTGGAACGTTAAATTTACTTTGCAATGAAAAGAACAGAAGTTAGATAGAACATAATATTTTCTATCTCTCTTCTGTTCTTTTCATTTTTCTGATTATATGTATATAAATACTACTACTACTACTACATACGATACTATAATAATGAAATAATCTAAAAATATATACAAGGTGTAGGGGGCATCGTACCGAATACTGAAATAGTGTATTCAGATCATGATTCTGAGTCGAAAATCATTGACAGTTTCTGCCGGAAAATTCATCTTTTTTAAATTTTTATTTATTCTGGTTAAAAATTATGAAAAATGATATCTCAATGAGTAGACAGAACATTTTACCAAAAACAATTTCATAAATACCAAAAACCGCGAGGGGCCTCCCCTCCGGCCGCCATTTTGTGTTAGTGTGCGTAGACTGCACGGAATACACATGTAGTTATTACTTTTGTGCGATACCTACGGGGAATGACCTCTGACAGCTGATTGCATAAAAAGTTTAACTTTCCGGCAGAAATTTTCAATGATTTTCGACTCAGAATGATGGTCTGAATACACTATTTCAGTATTCGTTACGACGTCCCTTACAACATATAAATATATATCTAATATATTTACTATCGCATTTGACTACATTAATACTACTTACTAACACTAAATATTTTCATTTAAACTTTATTTCAATACAAGATAAAATGTTAACTATTTTTTACACTTTTTCATTCTCCTCTTTTTTGTCATAAACCCAATTTAAATTTCTTTAATTTATATATTGCTATAATAACATAAAACAAATAACTAATTTGCTAGATTCCACTTCCAACATTACAACTTGTTTCAAAAAATATTATCTAAACCAGTATCACTGTATCTTCTATATACTTATTTAACAACTTTACTTTTAAACACTTTGAATAAACATTATGATAAAACTTTGCCATATCATTCTATCCTTGCCAGCTTTTGTCCAATCCAGGTTGACAAACATGTTTCGAGTTACTGAGCACTTATGATCTACTTATATTTGCGATCACATTGAGCTATTTCGTCACACAGATTCTAGCTAAGTATTAACTACAAAATGTTTGATAGGCAAAAGTTTACGAACCCCGACTATATTGAGCCAGTTATCCTTGTGTAGTCGGCCGCTAACGGCGCGGTTCAATGTCTGTGGAACAAGGACACATGGGCTTAGCTCGCGTGCCTTGTACCCACGTACATTGTTATTGTGACAAATAAATATATATATTAACACATGGAAACGCAAGTTGATATAAAATGAAGTGATTATAAAAGGCAGTAGTAGAAAAAATAAATTGGAGTTTAAAATAATTATAATTATTATTATATAAATATATATTATTAATTAGAAATAAAAAAGAGAACTCCCGCACTAGGAATATATCCTGTGTCACGGGGGACTTTACAAACATTTATGAAACAGACACAAAGAACACCCAGACTGAGAATAACAATATGAGACTCACACAAAGGGTTGTCCCATATGAGGATCGAATCCACAACACTCAAAGCCGTTTTAAACCGTTTAAATCACTACGCCATCCGTGCAGCCATACATTTTGGATGTAAAAAAAGTAATTTGTAATAATATGTGTCCCAATGAACGGTTATTATTATTTTTGACATGTCAGTATTATAGTATAAATCTGCTCTCCATTCGAAAATTATTATTTTTTTCAAATTGAAATAATTAAAATTTCAATGAGAAAAACTACTGAAACGAAATAAACTTTGCTATAGATAAGGGTAAAATCACCGAAATATTTAGTTTGTGTATGTCAAATAAGGCCGGCCCTACTATTTTTCAAAGTTAGAACGGTTATTTCTAAACCTGAGTAATATAAATCTCTACAAACCAATTTCTCTCAAAACTATAACAAATGCGATATAATTTTATTGTTGTTAGTAAGAGACCGGATAGTCATCATAGAGATATATAGATAGAAGATAGATGCTAGGAACTCATTAGACTTCCTAGCATTAAAAAATTAGGAAGTATTTGTAAATAAATTAATAAATAGCTCTTATAATAAATTTAAATATTGGAAAGCACACTACTTTATTTATCACATAACAATATACGCCTCGAGCATAGATGGGCGTGTATATCTGTAAACATATTAAACTATTTATAACGCTTATGTACAAAGCATGAGCAATTATTTTATATGTCAAATTAATATAATCGTGATTTTATTATTAAATGGTTCACAACAACATGTTTACATAGAACCCTATACATAGTATTTAAAGATATATATTTTTAATATACTTTAGTATAAGTACATCTTTTTTTTTGCATCTTTTTAAAAAAGACAACTCACGCATTTGGAATATATTCTTGTGTCGCAAGGGAACCTTACAAACATACATGAAACGGACACAAAGAACACCCAGACTCAGAACAACAATTTGTGGATCACACAAAGTGTCGTCCCATGTGGGGTTTGAACCCACAACACTCGGCGCAGTAGGAAGCGGCGTGGCGACCGCTTAAACCACTACGCCATCCGTGCAGTCAATACAGAACAGTCGTACAGAAATAAGAGTTAAATTAAATATTATTATAATAATTTGACACATCTCACACACGGGCGTCTGATCCCAAACTTCTGAGCTGTGCTGTAGTAACCAGACTGCTGATGAATATACTTATATATTTCTAAATACATACATATTATAGATAAATTACACTCAGCCACAGAAGAAATGATCCTGCAAATCTCATAATTATTTGTCCTGGGTGGGAATCGAACCCATGACCTCTTGCTTAGCAGTCAGGGTCACTAACCGCTTGACCAACAGGCTAGTCGAATAATTAAAGTCGATAAATAATTATTAATAAAAAATATTTCAATGTTAAAGTACAATTAAATAAACGGTTAAAAGCAAATTAATAAATAAAATGAATTTTATAAAACAAATCCAGACTATCTTTTTTAGAAAACTTGAAACTAGAAATAGGTATTAATTTGGCATTTCTTAAATATTATTGTAGACAGTTGAGAGATCACCTGCTCCATTAATTAAATTCAAGTTTAATTAAACGTCCATATTTTTTAAAAAAGAAATAACGTAATTTTTGGAAAATAATACTTGATAAGCCAAACTTCGGAGTACCCTTCTGATTTTAAAGGGTATCAAAACCAGATTCACTGTATGCATAAATAATTGCACTAAGACATATAGGTATAGTTGGGTTACCAGAAAATAAACATGCATTTTTTTTTTCTGGTCTTAAATTAAATTAACATTAAACAGACAAAATCGTTTTTCCACAACCCAATTACCTTCATGGCATTCCTGTTCCTTTGTGCAGCGGCGAGATGGTTGACCACCGGAGCTGGGTACTCTTTGCCAATGATGCAGTTGGCTCGCTCCTGAACATCGATGGGAGCCTTCCAGGGCTCATAACTGTGCAAAGAAGCAACACATTGAGGTTATCGGAGTCTAAACCCCTCTCGCCCTAATTTTGAGAGGGGGGAAGTTACCGCCCTATGAGTATAGGGCGGTAACTCATTTCTGAATCTTGAGTTTCAGGTATACATGGGTGACGGTAGTCATTTATTATCAGGTCACGTCTCGTTTGTGTCACATTTTCTTGCGGTAACATGGCATTGTATGGAATTCACTTAGACGAAAAAAAATGTAAAAAAATGTACGTACTACTTTAAGTATTTAATTATATTTAAGTATTTAATTATATTTATATCTGCATGGTAATGGAATATTGTTATGATTTTAATTATTATTTGAAAGAAAAGTTGTATATATTATATTGTATATATATATTTTTCGTTGTTCTATGAATTTTTGTAACAAATATGGGACCTTGTACCTGCAATAAAGGAATTATTATTATTATTATTACTACTACTAAATGTACTAAGTACGAAGACTTGCCATGTCACCGCTAGAAAGTGTAACACTCTCGTTTGGCTTCCTACTGCGTAAAAAAAACAGTGGCACTCCGGGAGTACCGACCGAAGTGAAAACTTGTTTTTTTTTTTTTTTATTATAACAGAAAAAAAAAATCTTTTTTTTATTCGAAAAGTTCGGACATGAATATATTATATATAGTTATATAATCAATGTATTTCAACCCAAACTCGACTCTTGTGTAAACGGGGCCAATGTATGTCGATATACAGAGGTGTCGGTAACGGTAACAGTGTCGCGAGTTTAATAGTTTTTTCCCAGCTCAAAAAATACATTCCGATAGATATGACAGATAAATTACACCTAGACATAGAACAAATGATCGTGTTCATCTCCTTATTATTTTTTTTACTAAGTGAGAATCGAACTCACGACCTCTGTTTTAGCACTCAGTATCATTAAGCACTAGATCAACGGGCCAGTCAGGAGTAAAATTAATAAAACAAACTTACATATACTCCACAGGCATGCGCGCCAGCTCCGGCACGTATCTCTTCACATATTCGCCACTTGGATCCAACCTTTGTCCCAACTGTACCGGACAGGCGCACTCGCTAGAGTCGAGAAGAGCTTCGAAGGCCGACGAGGAGACCCACATCCAGTTGCCTGCGCAGACAGACCTGGGAAATATAAAATTAATAGTTTCCACCATGTGGACAAGATGGTGAATTTCAAAATGGTGTCGACATTTTACTTATGTATTTTCTTACAATATCCTTACAGAATTATTCTAATGCGATATTGTAGTAACATTAGTTCTACTTTATAAACTAAAGTAACAAATTGTGAATTCAATCAGAGCATAATAAAATATATCCACACGCTATAAGGGTTGAGTTAGCGTCAAAGGTGCTTCGCGCAGTAAGTTTGAGCCGTCCGGGACACACAGACCCACCCTCTTTAATACATCTGCATTATGTATCCCCCCTCTAATTATAATATATATAAAGCAATCTAAGGTTAGTCTTAACGTCTAAAACTTCTTATCTAATGTTGTCCGAGCTAACAATGTAAAATTAAATGTGTAAATTGAATCGGGTACCCACAGGACAGGCTTGTCTAGTGTGAGGCCACAGGACAGTTGTCACGTTGTACTTATATGGTAATAAACAATTTTTATTTTTATTATTAGTTTATAAATGACAGACTTCTGAGGCAACCAACAAGAAAAATATACATCAGACTTAGCACTACCTTTTTTTGAAGTCGGTTAATAAAAACAATGATATTATGTCGCTCACCAGTCGGCGTCGAGCAGGTCCTTGAGGAAGTGGTGGAGGCCGTGCTCCCAGGACAGCCACAGCGTGCCGCGCGTGAGGAAGGACGCCACGGTGTTGCGCAGCGCGTGGTGCAGCCAGCCCTCCGTGCGCAGCTGCCGCATCGCCGCGTCCACGAACGGGAACCCCGTCCGCCCCTCCATCCATCTAAGGGGGAATCTCTCAACTTATAAAGCTCAAGATGCTTTTCGCCCACCTAGTCTCTAACTCTATATTAACAAAACTATTTAAACTGTAAATTGGCTATAGTCCGGTCGCATTAAGAAAACAGTGACGCATCGACCAAGCCCCGCCCCCTGACCAATCAGGTTGCAAGAAATTATCGTTTGGTACGAAAACTTGGAACCTGATTGGTCAAGGTGCGGGGCTCGATTAATGTCTCACTATTTTCTAAACCGGAATGGACTATACGAGAAGACTATCCACTTAGATTTAGATTATAACTTGAATTGGTTGAGTTGCCGAAGAATAGAAGAAATAGGCATTTACATACATTTTATAAATTAACATTTTTATATCAAAATACACGCGGACATATGCGTCTTAAATAGAAAACGTCAAACTAAGGATAAACAACACATTTAGAATTTAAATAGATTCAAATTATATTTTTACCTTTGCAATTCATCACTTTCGGGATTTTTCCAGGGTATATCCAAACAAATAGGGTTATTGGCCATTTGACCATAGTTTGGATTGTTAATGCTCATTGTGTAGAAATATTCGCGCCAAATTAGCTGACCTGAAATCAGAAGCAGAAGTAATTAATTGTATAAATGTCCAATTTTGAAAATTATGTTCTGGAAATATCGCTCATCAGAAGCCCATAAGGTATGTGGATGTATACTGAAGAGGCCAGGAGATAATTTATTTTTGTCAGCTTTTATGTGCTTTCATACCGACAACTATTTATCATTAATGCGACGGACAGTCCTCTTTGCAGAGGATGCCTGAAAGCAGAAGAAACGGCCGCTCACGTAATCCTGGATTGCTAAGGAGTGGCCTCACAACAGGCAAGTCGCTCTTAGAAGCCTGTAAACGCCCAAGGCTTCTTCTGCGCTTCTGGAAGGAGCTTGGTTGGCTCACCTAGCCAACCTCTTCTAGACGCATAAAGGACCACTCTCGAATCTAAATACGGAAATCAGAGCCCACAACCAATACCAATGTGCTTTTATAAATTTAGCCCTAGTACATCATAGATGAATATTATTGGAATTGACAAGCACTTACGAGGTGGGGATTAATATACTTAGTTAGAGGGACCTATATCTTTCTTAGCCTTCCCTGAAATTACCGTGCGGGTGCCGGGTCTATTGTGTGATAGATGATGTTAATATTAAATCGCTTGAACTGTATTTTAAACCGAAGTTTATGTAACTTTTATGTTTGTTACCTCAGAACTCACTACAGATTTGGACTATTCTTTTTTATTTGAGAAGGTATATATCACAATTGACGCCATTTGTACTGGAATTAAAAAATAAGTGAATAAAGAATCATCATCAACAGTCTTTAATAGTCCACTGCTGGACATAAGCCTCTCCTTAGAAAGGAGGTTTTGGCCTACTATACCACGCTGGCCAGACAGGTTGGTATAGGGTTTGTGTCAAGTTTTCCTTCTCTCTGCAGTGCTGTTGTTCTGCGTAGTTTTTTCCCTTAGTCGGCTCTTACGACACCCACGGGATGAATAGGGGTGGTGACACTCTGTATTCTTAATCCGTCACCACACGGACGGAATAAGAATACAATGGGGCTAATTCTGTTGTTCGAAAACTCTCTAAACTAAACTAAAAATCACAAAAAATTTGTTTCGTCCTGTCAAATAACTTTTCCTGTTCTGAAAGCGTAGAATTTGGCAGGACTAAAATATTTTTTTAGGGATTTTTAGTTTAGAGAGTTTTCGTACAACAGAATTAGCACCAGTTTATTACAATTTATCATGATTTAGGCCTATTGAAGTCGGGTACAGTCACAGTACACCACATTTATCATCATTCTACCCTTATTTAAAAAAAAAATTTAAGGTCGGTGCGAAGCATTTTCTTCCTGCATTCTATAGTATTCAGTAAATCAGGTAAGTAAAGCGTGGTTTGCGGGCGGCGGGGGAAGGTGCTGCCGCCCCTCACCTCAGGCCCCTACAGCATACAACTCGCGCGTCTGTACTTTCTAAATTATCATTTCAGCGGTTACCTGTTATGAAATTATTGGCAGACTGTTGTCCCCTGTGCACTTCACGGAACAGATCTTGTACAGACCAGTAGAAGCTGTAAAAGCAATGTATAACAGTATATTTACCCACAAAGATAAGTTGTAGCAGTATTTTAAGTAGAATTTTCCCTTTTTCTCATTGCTCTGAATCTTCGACGATACGACAATCAAAACACAAGTTTGAATCTTTAATGTTAAACATAGTACATTGGAGGCCCTCGAATAATTACAATTTATACATTTTACAGGTAATAGTAACACTATTTTTAAGACAGGAATTTTCTAGAGCTGATGCGACATTTTGATCTTTAATATAACTTGATAAATTAAATCATATTTTTCCAACTTTATAACTGCGTTACTGTGGTGATTTTCAAATACAGAAACTTACTTCAGCCCCATCTAGTGAATATCGGCCGAAGTACGGAGTAACTACTCCTATATCGCACTATTAAAGTTCTAGCATCGATTTGTGTATGTACAACTTCCAGCCAGGCATGAATACCGAAGGGTCATTTCACCCATTCCTTCACAATAAAAAGTTTAATAATACACTAACCTTCTAACAGAAAGGCATCCGAAACGAAGTGCAGGACTCAATGATATAGGTGGTCCGAGGAGATCAGGGTTGCCATGTGTAGGTAAATATGATCCCCTGAAAAGAGGTCTTAACTATAAACACTAAAATTATATTCTTATACGAACGGAACTACGGACTGCCTACGCTTAGGTAAATAATTTTTTAAGCACTCTTCTTGAAATTACGGGGCTTCAATATTTTGTAATAATTTGTTATTGTTAAACAACGGTTAAATCAAACAATCACAGTATATGATTAGACCTTACTAGAATATAACATAGATGATAAAGATATTTCTACCTTTAAGTCATAATCATATGACAAAATGGTTGGTTCTGTCACTACGATTTCACCTGTGATAAATCGCTACTGGTATTTCGTCATAAACAAAGATAAATGCCATCAAAAACTTAAGCAAAGAAAACAACTTTTTATCGAAGACTAAGACCCTTTTTTTTAACTCGCCAAAGATCTATAGGCCTTTCACGAATCTGGCGCTAGCGTAATCTTAATTCGCAGTGGTTTTGTAAATTGGTCACAGTGATTATATAATTTTTATAATTCATATGATTTATTATAGTTAATTTTGATTTTATTCCAATTCTTAATGTTTTATAATATCTTGTTTACAATTATTGTAACTTTTAATTTCAAAATCGACTCCACAATCTCTGACAATCTTTTACAATACCTGCGGAATGTTTCGTACTCTACAGCAAGACGTTGGGACATTTGCTTCAAGGCTGGACGCTCTCCTCCCACCCAGCGAATCATACGAATATCTTCATTCTCCAAGAATACTCCAAGGTCTTCTGGTTTTGGAGCCTGAGGATTATCTTATGAACTGATCATCATGAATTTCAGCGTATACGTTGTCAGGGGTTTAGAAAACGATATAGGGTACCATTCGACCCCGAAAGTAGGTTCAAGAGAAAAAGGAGTTATTCCAACAACCACCTTACCTCCTCCTTGGGGCTTAATATGCCTTTGCCTAACCCTGCAGCTCCTTCGTTAGCCTCCGCTACTTATTGAGCCCTTGAGTGGCATTCGCTCATCGTAGATATGAACTATGCTGTTAAATGAACTCAGTGTTGTTAAGATACCATTTTAGTTTCTTAATCCAAGGAAAACAGACGTTAAAATAATTTAATAATGAACTAGCTGGTACCCGCAACTTCGTTCGTGCGTGGAATTTAAAAAGCGCTGCCTTAGTGGGTTCGATGCCCGGACCGGGCAAAATTTTAAAGGGTTTTTCTGAGAGGAAAAATAGCCTAAGTTATTCCTTATGTAGACAGCTACCTGGTAGTAAAATATTATTGAAATCGGTCCAGCTGCTTAAATAAAGACAAAGACAAAATAAATTCATAAACACGTTTCGTAATGCTCGTTGCACTAAGTTCTGCACATTACGAAACTTTTAAGTATAAAACTTCTTTTTCCTACAGGCACGTACTACCCATTCTAACGTGTTCTATAAAAACTATGAACAAATCTATGTTACCTTATCGAAGACGGTAAACTCTTGGTAGAAGCATTCCGGGAGTGTGCCGAACATGACCCCAGCGAGGTCTACGTCCGGGCTTGGACGGGGTGGGTCACCGATAGTCGCTACTGTGTGCTACAACAATGAAATTATTCGTAGACAGAACTGAATAGGAATAACAAGTTAACTTAAGTATAAATCTGTTACCTAAAGAAAAATGAGGAGTTACATTTTATACCTACATAAGGTATCGATAAAAATCAGATATAGTTGTAATGTTATCCGCATAAACCGACGGAATTACGATCCCCTAGACTGGTAGATGCGGACTGCCCAAGACCGGAATAGTTGGCGCTCCTTGGTGATGATGATGATGATGATGAAGAGTGGATTAGCCAATGGTGTTGGAAGGACGGAGCATCCGTTTCATTACATACATTTTATTTTTAAATGATCACTAGTATCAATGTGATGAAATTGTATTTAAAATGTATTATATAGAAAAAAAAATATGGGTACCGATGAATATTAGGATAAATTCAACAATAAATCACAAAAACTCTCGTATTGCGCTTACCAGGAACATTTCATAAGTGAGTGGAGGTATTCCACCATTAGCTTTGATAACAGTGTCCGGCTCCCATAGAGTATGTGACACGTGCTCCCTGCAAGTCACACCTATCTCCCTGCAAGCCACCTTAACGCTGTCGTCACGAGCCCTCCACACAGGTTCACAATCCTGCTCGAAGCACAGCTTGCGAATGCCTTAAGATTTAGACAAAATGGATAAAAAAATTGTAAGTGCCAATTCTTAATATAAAGGAGGAACTGAAATTGGGGTAAAGGAAACGGGTGGCTCGAGGGACTTAAGGGAATGAGACTTCAGAACCTCGAAAAGGTCATTGTCGCCTATTCATAAGTCCATCCTGTGATTGGAGAATCACTAGCAAGTGAAGATCCTATAATTACTTGATATTTGATTATATTATATTTATATATATATATATATATATATATATATATATATATATATATATATATATATATATATATATATATATATATATATATATATATATATATATATATATATATATATATATATATATAATATTATAGTAAATGAACACATAGTATCAACACCTAACGAGCACGACGTCTAAAAATAACCAGTCTTAAATATTATTACAGCCAAGATCATAAATATATGTATGTACAATAATAAATACAATATGTGTTTAAACAAAAGAAAAAGTGTAGACTTGGCCATAAATACATATGAATTCCACAAATCCCAATACATGTCTTCTAAGAAAAGTTTGTTAATTGTCGGGCTGTTTTCTCATAGCCATAAAACTATTTTCCTGTACTTTTACTAGTTTACAAAATAAATATGTTTGTTTTGATCGAATAAACTTATACTTTCAGTGCTAGAATGTGACTGATAGTTAACTTACCAAATTCCTCCCAGAGCCTACGGAAGACAATATTTGGCTGCCCTTTCAACATGATCAGTCTACCACCATATTGTTTAAACTGGCTGTCTAAGTCATCCAGCGCCTCGAGAAGATACCGCATGCGGTTGTAACCCACGAGTTTAGTACCTGTTTGGGTGAGAGGGTATTTGTAAATGTTGAGACATACTAATACCGCCAATACTACATTCAAAAATTGTTAGAAAATCCTAGCAAAAACTTTTCCATGATCCTTTACCTGCAGTCTCTCCATCGAAAATGAATATAGGGAAGAATGGCACACTCCTGTCTTCAATGGCACTATGAAGGGAGGGGTTGTCATGAAGACGCAGCCCGTGTCGGAACCATAGCACGCTTCCACCCAACATCTTGTTTCTTTTTCAAGTCAAATCTATTAAACAAAAATGGTAAACTTAAGATTGTCACATATTTCTTAAGTCTTTATAGGTATTGTTACGAGCGGGGTATACAATAAATAAAAGTAATCGGTTAATTACTTTTATTGAACTGAATTTACAAACACTCACTATTACAAACAAGAAATCACTATATAACTCGTTAGTTGCACTAGAAATTAGTTTCGAAGTAAATTCGTTGTCTTAAAAAAATCCTGTCCCGTACGGCAAATACGCTCCGCTTTTATAGGGCTATCGAGATTACTAGACTAATCCCGAGGATCCGATAGAATGTTCCAGACAGAACCACGTACAATAAGGCATCTACAAATTTCTATTATCTTTCGAAATTCGACACTAGACGGCACTGAAAGTATACGAATTAAGAACCATAATCTCAATTCATAGCCTTCGTTTTGTTCCCCAATTGATACGAGTATTAGATGGCGCTACACAAGAACCACTCAATCCTATGGCGCAACAATATCAGTTTGTTTTACAATACAATTTATACCGATGCCAATGGCCACTCGATGGCATCTGAATAGCGTGTCATTGGTATGACAGTGGCTTGGCGTGAACATAAAATAGCAGAATTGAGGCCCTGTTCTTTTGATTAACATACATACTAATCACGCCGACGAAACAAAACGATTCGAAGAGAAAATCTTAAAAAATATATTTTTAAGATTTTCTAGTGCCTACCTTTAAAGTGGGGATGTTATTTTTTATATTGGTGTTATTTGATAGGTATTTTAAAATTTTCTGTTTGTGAATATAATATTTTGATTAAATTATCCGTTTGTGAGATATTGAGCCTTGAAACGCTGAGCGTTGTTACAGTAAAGCCCCCCCCCCATTCACCCCTCCTAGCCAAACGGCAGTATTTGGAGATCTGAAAAATTCACGGTAGTAGCATATACGAGTACGTATAACGAATTAAAAAAAAAACGTAAGTAGGGTTTATTAGTTTACGAATAATAGTCGACTAACTAATTCCACGTTGTAGACCACGAAGCTAGATTTAACTTCTTTTCAGTGACCATCGTTACTATGTGAGCCCGTTTTGAGTCGCCGACTCCATCAAACACTCAGCAAAATGCCAAATTTCCTCGTATCCTCGAACCCTATTTTGGGCGTGGCTCGACACTGTCTTGGCCGGTGTTATTCATTATAATTTTCGTAGTATATAGTTGTATTATACACTTTAAAACTCAATTTGTATACATCCTTAAAAAATGGAAGATACATTAGGTATAGATAGAAGAATATATAATTAAATAGTAATTCAAAAGGCTATTTATAATAGTTACTAGTAATAGCAAAAAAAAACGTTTGCCATTTTTGTTACGTGAAATAATAAAAATAACACAAAATATGTTCTTTACCATCGTTATATAAGGTATTTTGTAGGAAGGTCGAAAATATTTTGTTTGTTTAAAAATCTCTAAACTTTATTGTGAAACTGTTTGGTGTCGTAATTACCCGTTAAACGGAAAGTTCGAAAGACTTATTAATTTTTGCAATCTGTTTGCAAGTTACTGAAATAGGCTTCTTGTTTTATTTTAACATTATATAATACCAACTTTTGCCCGCAGCTACGCCCGCGTTTATGTCGGTTATTGCGATAAAAAGTAGCCGTGTGACACGGGGGACTTCACAAGCATACATGAAACGAAAAAGAACACCCAGAATCAGAACAACAATTTGTGGATCACACAAAGTGTTGTCCGATGGGGATCGGCGTAGTGGTAAGCGGCGTGGCGACCGCTTAAACCACTGAGCCATCCGTGCACTGTCACTCGCTGATCATGTAGCTGTTCATTGGTGATGTTTTTTTAAATCAGTTAAGTGGTTTAAGCGTGAAAGCGTAACAAACAAATTCACTTTCACATTTATAATATCAGTATGGATGTGGGAGTAGAAAGAGTTAATACCTCACCGTTAATATAAATTTAATCATTGCTCACTGTACAGAATACAATGATAAAAAAAAATTGTACAGTGGAAGAACCTGATGCTTAGTTTGTGTATGGTATAACTGAGTATTAGATTTAAGTAAAGTATAAAAAGAAAATACAATGAACAAGATTTCTTTTATGACGTAACCGACGAAGATGCGGTCTCGCCGAGAGGAGTTTTATTGACAATCATGACCTGTCTATCCACTATAGCCGACAATAACGATAGTTATTATTTTTCAGAGGGATTTTTTTCTCTCTAAGGCACCGTCTTAGATCATCTTATTTATTAAACTTTGTTACCTAACTATCAAGGGTTATGCGTTATGCCCAGCTTTGTTGTATTGTATTCTTTTTTATGAAATGCTAACTTTTGCCCGCTTGTATGTCAGATATAGTGTGCCCTGTGTAACTCCCTGAAAATATAACTTTCTAATAGTGAAAGAATGTTTAAAATCGGTTTAGTGGTTTAGGCGTGAAAACGTAACAAAGAAACAAAAAACAAACTCACTTTCACATTTATAATTTAAATATATCTATATTTAAATTATAAATGTTCTTCGTTAAAGGCAAAAAATCGAGCACCCATGAAAAAAGATGCGCTATGAATATAAGTAATGCTTTCAAGAATGTTGGGTGACACATTTTTTTTTTTATTTTATTTTTTTTATATATCCTGCTACTTAGCAATCTGTTTCCAAGGAACAATAATCTAATATGGTGTCAGATTTTCATCGGGATTATTATCTTCAGCTGAGATAATAATCCCGATCTTCAGATTATCTTGAGCTGAGCACCCATTGATGCCATACTCATCTTCTGTCCGCAAATCTCATAGCTAAATCCGGTATACTATTTCTCTTCAGTCGAGAGAATCTCACATTTAACATGTTGGTCCAGTCTATTTTGATAATTATTGCTGCATGACTCTATTTCTTCTTTCACTGTTCGCAGAATTAAATCTAGGTTTACATATCGATTGTTTATGTACGGTGGAATATTAAACATGGCTCTCATTGTTTTACTTTGAAACCTTTCCAGTATTTCAACGTTACTATGACTTGCTGTTCCCCATAACTGTATGCCATAAGTCCATACAGGCTTCAGTATAGCCTTATAGATAGCTATTTTACTGGCTTCTGTCAGTTGTGACTTATGACCAGTGAGCCAATACATGCTTCGAAGTTTGCAGTCTAATTGTTTCCTTTTGGTCCATATGTGTTTGCGCCAGGTTAGGCGTCGATCAAGGTGCATACCTAAGTACTACTACTACATTTTAAATAAAGAATTTATTATTATTATTTTGGGTTTTAATTTTATTCTCTCAGCTTCTTAGCTGGTTCCACCGTATTTACGGTAAACCAAGTAAATACAGCATGTGGTGTGTACCTACATTATTTTGGTATAGTGTCCATCTAACTGCATGAATTTTCTGATGATTCTACATGTGTTTAATATAGAGGCTGGAGAGGGGTAAACTTTAAACGAATTCTGATAAACCTAAGATTTTAAGCTATGGAGAAGATGCTTTGGAATGATACCAGTCGTGGAGAGGACGATGGGGACTATGTAGACGGTATATTGTTTCTATTATTATTATTATTTACAAGTTATTTGAACAATTACCTTAAGACCTTAAGAGGCCTATGTAAAGCAGTGGACTAGTAAAGGCTATTGATGATGATGAATTACATAAATTCAATTACACTTACATTTCAAATCAACAATAGACGGTAAGACTTGGTAAGGCTACCATAAACATATTATATGTCTGTTTAGTTTTAAGTATAACATAACAACCAGACATTGGATAGCCTGCTTCCCCACATTTATGTCGATACTGTAGGTACCTATAGGAACAGTTATAAAACTAATCTATGTGCAGTAGGTTACAACAGCGCGACCTTCACAATACAGCTAGCTGTGATGACATAATTATAGCGATAACATTATGTAACGTCACATAACAAGAAACTAGCCTTCAATAGTCCACTGCTGGACATAAACCTCTCTATAGAAAAGAGATTTCAACACAATTCATTATAATCCTTAGATGTCAGGCAACATGTACGTTAAATAATTGGTTTATTGTTAACTCAATAAGAACAATAAAATTCAAGAGGTAATACACACCGCTGAACACCGTAACAAGTGGGGGGCGATCGTCTGGAAGATAATTCGTAGAGGTCACAATATACAGCAATGAGGAGGACGAGAACACGGCACAAGGAGGAGGATAAGTATTGGCCAAAAGCAAATAGTACAATGAATTAGAGTTCAATTTCAGAATATAAGCTATATACGATCAAATTAGCACCAGTTCTTGTTACGATAAAAGTTATCAGTTGGATTTTTTACTTTCTTTTAAATTGTAGAGCTCTAAATCTACTCTAAATTTTTCTCTTTAACTTTAAACCGCGAAAACTAGTGATCATGGAATACTCTGTAAGTAAGATCCTTATTTTTGTCTTTAAAAATATCGACGAAGGTAGATTTTATAAGGATTTTTCTATTCCTGCATTTTCGTTTATTATAATTTATGTTGATCTATTTATCTAATATATCGCTTATTATTCGTAAAAAAAAAAGCATATTTCTGAGTGTTTTGTCAAATATTATAACATTAAATATCTACTTTATGCAACTGTTCAAGTGCAGGCGGCTATACGGTTTGTTAGCAATATGCTGTTTAAAGGTGAACCATAAATTTATTTTAGTTTATTTCATTTATATTTGTAGGGTGGCTAATATTATTATTCCCTGTTTGTATAAATAATTCCGATATACTGGAATACTATTTCAATAACAATTTGGTTAAAACGATATATTCAAGAAATATTAATAAGTTTTCCTGGAACTAAGTAACTTTTATTCGATGGAAGAAGTATCACACATAATCTAATGTTGGGACAGGCAGGCTTTTGAAGGCACGATGGTAAAAAAGGGGAATCGTAAAAAGGATTGATAAACATAAACAAACAATAAGCAACACTAAACAAACAACAACTACAG